TTCCTAAAATAGGATTCTATTTTAGGAAATCTTTCAAATTTAATTGAATAATTGAAATTAAAAACTTTCCCAAAAGGGATTATGTAGGAAAGGAAAGTAATGATGAGGGGTTTTGAAATTTTGGAGGTAAAGGGGAAGGGGGTAGGCCGGTAGCTAGGCTAGGGTTGGAATGAGATTTCGAGTGTAGTGGTGGTGGGTTTGGCCAAGAGGGGAGGAGGGAGTTAGATGGGTGGTGGCATGTTGGCTTGTGGGAGTACTTGCTAGGGAGGGTCAGCGCTATGGAGGGAAAGGGAGGGAGAGAAGAGGATAGGGAAGAAAAAAGCTACAAACCCGAACACTTCCAAGGTTGGTGGATGATCTGATTCCCTCTCTTAGGAATTTCTCTCCAAAGCTCTCAAGCTCTCACACAAACACAAGGGTGCAGTAATTTTCATTATCATTCATTCATTAACTTCAAAAGAAACATAATGGGCTTATATATAACCTCCTACAATGAAAGGGAACTAAAGACAACATTGCCCCTAGGTATTACATATGACAAAACCCTTAAGGGTAAAATAGGAAATGCTAATAAAATAAATAAATATGATGACTCAAAAATAGATCGGCTCGATCGTGGTCGTAGATCGTCAATCACATCTCTGTTATACTTTTCATGATCAGATGTCTCTATATTTTTTCTTTACAGCCTTCTAAGCACTTGCATTATCTGTAACCACTTATACAACCAACTGTTCTCCAACTTCCTCAACAATGCTATCTAATAATCTAAATATGAACTCAGCATATTTGACCTGGTTAGTTACTTCAACTGACCTTAAATATACAATACCATAAGGATTATTAATGAGGATATTGATCAAACTTCTATGTTTTATAACAGACCACCCATATAACATAATTGTTACACCTGTTTGGGCTCAAGTCCTCTTAATTTCTTCAATGCTTTTATCAATGTTATCCAACTCCTTCAGAATTCATGTTCTCAAATCATAAATGGTTGGAGGTTTGAACCTCTCCCAAATGCTCCAACTGAATGAATCAAGTTGTAATAGGCATATGATGTCACAACTTTAAATGGAATTGCATTTCGTAGAAGAATTTGTCTATATACTTACACACTCTTTTTCGTACCTCCCTTGCATTCTCTAAAGTCATCTTTTGTGTAGTAGGAGGTTTATCATATGATGTTTACACCATATAATGATCCATAGGATCTCTAGCACCCCTAGATAAAATGGGCTTAATCGAAGAAGATGAATCCCTAACGTTACGCTCACTCCCGTAGTAGGAGCCAACATCAACTTTGCCCTCAAACTACTTCTGTGCAGGCTGTTTAAATGCGGTAGACTTATTCATATATGACTTTATTTCCTCCCTTATAGTATCAAGTACTTTGGAGCATGGTGCAACATTCTTATGAGACCATGAAAGGTGACCCTTCATCCTAGTCACACCACCCTTCACAACTTTGTCATAGTAATTGAATTGTAGATGTATATATATATATATATGTTTTATCACGATCTCCTATATCCACCTGAGTGCTATTTTTCCATGCTAAATCCTTTTTAAGACCTGATGCAGCTTTATCCTTACTTATGACCATCCTTTATAAGAAGAATATAAAATACAAGATCAAAACATCAAGCCATTATAAAAAAACAACCTAATTTATACACATATCTATTGAGCATCTTATACATTTTATTATGTATAGACCTAAACCACATGTCCACACAAACATAAGTCTAACAAAAAGATATCTAAATATTATATAAATAAAAAAGTCCTATCATTTTCATTTTCTTACACTATATATAGCAACAATTCAATCAAATGGCATTGAAAATTGTATACAAAAAAATTCTATATCATAGAAGATCAAAACGTTCTTGTACATAACATGTAATACACCTCTCCTACTAAAAATTTCGGCATTAATTTATAATATACATATTGAGCATCTTATACTTTTTATCATGCATGCCTAAACCACATGTCCACAAAAACAGAAGTCTAACAAAAAAATCTAAATATTACATAAATAAAAAGTCTTATCATTTTCCTTTTCTTACACTATCAATGGCAACCATTCAATCAAATGACATTGAAAATTGTGTGTATAAAACAAAGCAATATTGCATAAAATTTAAAAGAAACAAATTTCGCCAAAAATGAATGAAAATCAAAGGGAGATGTCCAAAAATGCAATGGTATAACAAAAAAATCACATTTGAGTGCAAAGAAGAAGAGGAAGTAAAGCTATTTCACCTTTGTCAATAAACCTAAACTCCAACCATGAAGGAGAAGAGCTTTCAACAGTCTGTCGGTCGAAGGAGACTCCAGGCCAATCTGCTGTAGAAGAGAACTCCAAGCAAGAGGCGAAGAGCAACTCTCGGTGGAAGCAAGACGATGCCGGTCAAGTGGACCGAAGAGGGGAAAATGTGGCTCGAAGAAGGGAGATGAAACCCTCGTTCGAAAATGACGGAAGACATGATGGGGGTCGAACTGAATAGATAAATATTAGGTTAGGGTTGTGTTTTTTTTTTTTTTAAAGAGGCGGCCACCTCTAAAATCAGAGGTGAGGTGCACGTTAAGCACGCCTCAGTAAACTTGAGGCGTACGCCTCATTACCTGTTTGCGTAGGCTTTGAGGCTTAAAAGAACGAAATTGCATTGATGTGCGCCTCTTATTGTGCAATTTTAAACCATGCGTACACTTTGTGTGCACTATAGCGCATAGCATACATTATTTTATTAATAATCTTTCTTGCTTATTTTAAAAAAAATTGTATTCCTTGATTTAATTTAAACTTTTTTACTTTGCTTTTTTATTTTAAAAATTTAGAAATATTAGAGTTTAACAAGCTAGCCACCACTTTTACCCACTTACATTTCTAGAACAATACAACTCTTAGTCTTTCAAGTTTTCATAAGTCTCCTTGATGTTGCCTTAATGATGCTTATTCGCTCCATCAATAATTATTTGTTGTTTTCTTCCTACTATTTTCATGCATTTTTTTCTTGATTATACTTCAATTTTTTATTTGTATAATGCTTAGTTGCTTGATCAAATTTCATTAAAAGCTAGCAATATTATGTTGCTATATTGTTGATATAAGTCTATTTGATTCTTATTGTTTATGTTGTTAAATTTTTTATGGAAATTTAAGTGGTTTGATGGAGACGCATAGAGAGAATGAGGATCTTCATATGATATTTATTGATTTAGAGAAAGCATATGATAAAGTTCTGAGGGAAGTGCTATGGAAAGTTCAGAAAAGAAAGGAGTTAATAATGCTTATATTCAAGTCATTAGGAATATGCATGTAGTTGTTGTTACTTGTGTTCAAACACAAAGTGACTTGACCAAGTACTTTCCTATTTCTTTTGGATTACATCAAGGATCAGCCTTAACCCCACATCTTTTTGCTTTGGTCATGGATGTTCTCACTAGACATTTGTAAGAGATTGTACCCCAATGAATGCTTTTTGCTGGAAATATTCTTCGTGCTGATAAGACTAGAGAGGGAGTTGATGGTAAACTTGAATTATGGAGGTCAACCTTGGAGTATAAAGGTTTTCGTTTGAGTTGATCTAAAACTGAATATATGGAGTGTAATTTTAGTAGTAATAGATCTAATGGAGGGTTTGTGACTTTGGGCAATCAAGTCATTAATAAGAGTACAAGTTTTATATATCTTGGGATTATAGTTCATAGTGATGGTGAAATAGATGATGATATTATTAGCATAATTCAAGTTGGATGGTTGAAGTGGAGGAATGCATCAGGCTTGTTATGTGATAGAAAAGTCCACCTCAAACTTAAGGGAAAATTCTATAAGATGGTGGGGAGACCTGCAATGCTTTATGGTGCAGAATGTTGGCCAATAAAAGAGAAGCATAATAATTAAGTTTTGTAGAGATGAGCATGCTTAGGTGGACAGGTGGTATTACTTTTAGAGACAGGATATGAAATGAGCATATACACAGTAGCACAACTCCTGTGGAAGATAAGATTAGCGAGAGTTGCTTAGATGGTTTGTTACATAAAACAACAGCCTTTCGATGACTTTCTTAGGAAAATAGATGTATTGGATTTAGCTTATGTTAAGAAAGGTAGAGGTAGACCTAAAAAGAATTGATTAGAAAATATTAGAAATGATTTATCTTTATTAGATTTAAATGAGAATTTGACTATTAACAGAACACAATGGTGAAAAAAGGATTCATGTAGTAGACCCCACGTAGTGTATAAAGGCTTGATATTGTTGTTGTTGTTGTTGTTGTTGTATATTGTTAAATTTGCATAACTATTATCTTATTGTAAGCCAAACTTTTGCATTTATTAGATAGAAGAAATAGAAAAAAAAAAAATTATGTTAAACTTCTTAAAAAGAATTGAAATGAAAATATTGTGTTTTTCATTAACCTTCATGTATTTTTAAGCAATATTATGTTATATTTATATGATATTAATAGTGTGCTTTTACATTAGAATTTTTTCCTTTTAAATTTTTTAATTCTTAAACTATTCTTCATGACTTTTTAGTATTTTATATTATTTTTAAAAAAAAATACACATCACACTATGTGCCATGAGCATCGTAATGACAACTGTGGATGACTAAAATATAGAATAGCGTATTCAAAGGAACAAACTAGCCTGTAAATGCACTGTTTCTTTTTTGTGCCAAATTTTATGAAGCTTTTCCTCCCACTTGCTGGATCAAAAGCTAAATCACATGGTTGAAGATGAAATAATTGATTAGTTTTATTTTACCTATTTACGGAGAAACAACATCATTAAATAACCATTACAATACACTGATTTTTTTTTCCTAGCAACAGCACTATAACTGAAGTAAATCATCTGCAAACAACAGTTAAAACGGGAAGTCAACAAGAACTAAAATAATATTGATACGGATTGTAATTGAAAATGAAGAGTATGATGCTCTCTTACAATATGCATAATAAAGTAGAGATTAATCTTACCAACTTTCTCACTATCCTCTTTATTTTGGGAATCAAGGTACGCCTGTCAACAAAAAAAAAAGCATAAGAATCAGCGCACATAATGGCAATGTTTTGTGTCAACAATCCTCATTCTAATAAACGAATGGCATGAAAATGCAACATTATAGCACAGCCTAATCCCAGACATATGAGATTAATAGGTCCAAAAACTAGCATTAAAATAACGCAAAAACATAATTAATCCTTCTCATGCGCATCAATGCGAAACCCATTGGAGTGGGAACAGCGATCGGACATCAAAATACCAAGAAGAAGAAGAAGAAGACTGGAATATTTATAGGGATGCTATAAAATACAAGATGAAACAGCGTCTAAAAGGTACCACCATGGGAGAAAAGAAGCAAAAAGCAGCAGCGCCTGATACAGCAGCGGCTGCACCCAATGGAATCGTACGGCCACGATACGAGTTAGGAATCTCCTTGAACGCATTTCGAAACCCTAGAGGAACGGCGACTCGAGGAATTCTTCGCAAAAACAAAGCCATCACAAAGTTTGAAGAAGCGAAATACTCGAAAGATATCACAGACGAGCAGAGGAACAGATTACAGAGGAGAGAGTTTGGGTCTTCAATCTTCAAAGTTATTGTCTTTGTAAGGGATTTTCGAGAATACGAGATCAACGAGTACTAAACTAATGTCAGTGGTCAAGCCTTCAATTTTAGACTTGACATCTGGTGGTTCCGGCTGTTCTTTCTTCTACGCTCAGCCCAGCTTGTACAATCTGAATTATATTAAATTCAAAATAAGTATTAGTATAAACTTTAAAGAAAAAATTTTCTCATTTATTTAAAAGGGTTATTTTTATTAGGATTTATTTTATAAAAGAGCATATTAATCTCTAAAATTAATAAAAGAAATGTATTTATTAAAAATTTTAAAAAGGAATAAATTCATCAAATCAAATAGCACATTTTTTAATGCACCATTTTGTTTGGCACATTCAACTCAATGGAGAGAGAGAAACAACGGGAGAGAGAGATGGAAAGATGGCGGTGGAGAGAGAAATGGTTTATGATATTGTAGACTTATGATGATGAATGATGTAATATTTTCATAAGTACTCTTATAAGATACGTTGTGAATCAGAGCAAATGTACCGTTAGATTTTTATTGAGCCTGTAAGGATGTAAAGTAAAATTCTCACCCTACTATAGTTATTGTATCTCCATATAATCCAAAATCATATTCATCATATGTCTAGGTATGAATATTTTTCATTGCAATCCTCCTAATTATTCCATCATTTCTTTGTCAAAGCAATGAATCATACAATATTTTAAATTCAAATATGGTCTTTACATGAATTAAATTAAGATGGGGAGTGATTTAAAACAACATTAAAGCATTTCATGAATTAGAGTCTGCATAAGATAAAACATGCTTCTTTCATATCACAATCTCAAAACCAAAAAAAATAGCTAGCCATAAAAATGATTTCACACAAAACAAAATTCATTATATAAATTGTCACAAGTTACAAGAGTTTAACTGAAGAAATATCACCTGTAATAGCTTTTATAATCTTTTACAAATATTGAATACTTCCAAGATTGATCTCCCTCATGCATGATTACTCTCACACTTAACTCCAACTCTTTCATTATTTTGTACACAAAAGAGATGGCCAACCTACAGTAGTGAACCACTTTAACTTCTTTGTTGTAACATTATAGGCAATTTGGTACCACAACACAGCCACGATGCTATAATTTTGAATAGAAATGGGAATAGCATTGCTTCATGGCACTGGGGCGCTCTCGATATTTGTGTTGGAGCTTTAATTACTTCGTAAATTACTTAGCTAAATGGCACAATTATGCTTCCAATTTTGTACTGAGCGCTAAGATATTGCAGCACCTTAGGAACTAGTGTCTGGCCGCTAAATTAAATTGCAAAATCCCTAAACCAAATGGTTCCCTGGTGCTCTAGAGTGGTACTGTGGTGAGGTCAGCATTACAGATTGAAGTGTTTTGGGATCGTAGCGCTGGTGCAAAACTTCCTATTTTATGGTCTTTTCCTTGATATTTTTTTTTTGCACAACATCAACTAAAAATAAAAATTTTCACATGAATTTATACACAAAATATTAACATAATTTTTACTTAACAGTTATTAATAAATTAGGGTTGGTGTGGGTTAAACCATGATTCATTGAGTATTAGTATAAGTAAAATTAGCTAATAAGGTTTATCCTCACATAAGTCAAGTATTATACTTTTCCCTTCTCCTCGAGCCTCGTGGCATCCTCCCAGCATTGATCTCCCATGATTAGGCTAAATGGCAACCGATCATAGTGATTAATCATGGTTTAGCCATGACTAAAGCTAAGTAGAGTTATTAAATAAAATCATTTCCTTTATTACCTATAATGAATTATGTTGACCACATTTTTAATAAGGTTGATTCTCTCTGGTAGGGTATCCTTTATGGGGATTCTCAAAGACTTAGTGTTGGCTGGCCCTAGAAAGCCCATGAACCTCATGGGGATCTTATGATACTTCATGGTGAGTCTAGATAGGTAGTGGACCCACCAAGTCAAACCTTAAATCAAGCCTAAGTCAAACCCTTTTTTAACTAAAATAATAATAATACCCAAAATCCTAAGTTTCACACTAGGTGGCCATTTGCCCCTAGGATCTATATTATAGACCAATAACCTATTCCTGAACTCGTCCCATAGGTCAAGAAGTGCTGACCCTTGGTCAAAGGTTGTTTGACCAAGGTTAAATCTTAAATCTTAAAATTATCAATAAATCCAAAGTGGTCATTTGGCTATGGCGTTGCGGTGCTCCCTCAATTTGAGAATATGAACTAATTTCTTGCACAAAAAGATAGAATTAAATGATTTTTTTATGAATATAGATGCAATTTAAATTATACACTTTTATTTTCTCATCATTAACTACAAGGTCTCAGCTCAAGAAGTTGTGATCTAAATTGAGCATTTATGACTCTCTAGTCATGTCTACGGAAATGAGAAAGGATTTAATCAAAACATCACTCAATCTAGATATCTATTTGTCTCAGTTGGCAACAATACAACTTGATGAAGCTCTATATTTTAAGTAAATTTCATAGAGAACTTTCCTTGATGAGGATCTATTATTAGGAACACGAATCATAATCGTTCATTATATATTTTCTATAAATGTGGACAACTTTAAACATTCTAATATCCCTGTTAATCTGGATAAATATATCAACATTATGACCCTTATAACTGTGGCCTACCTAAATGTGGATACTTGTAAACACAATTTAGATAAAAATGATGTTGCGAGGATTCAACAAAAAAAGGTAAAAGGGCTTTGGGTTGAATTACCCTTTTTTAGAAATAGGAGATCTAAAAATTAAGGCCAATTTTTATATTATATACTCAAAAACTTAAATGCTCTCTCAAGTAGACCATGGATTCATGAATATAGAAAAATTCCATCTACCCTTCATCAGTGTATCAAATATTCTTGTGATGGCATTAAGCACTGTATCAAGGGTGGTGTGCAATCGTTCTAAATTCATGAGGTTAAAATTTATGAAGATGTTGCCAACTACATGTTCAAAAGGCAAGCAATATTTTCTAGAGTTTATAAACTAGCTAAAGAAAGTGAAAATGAAAATAAAAAAGAAGGAAAATAAGAATGAAAAAAATGAAGGAAAAAAAAAATCCATGGCTTAAATAAAGTATTCATTGACCACCTACTCCTCTTTGAGTCCAAGTAACTATTGAAGATGTTCTTTATATACCTTCCTTTAAAAAGCTTAAGAAATATTTGAATATTATAACTCTAATCGCACTATCTCAGGATAGTATAGCTGGTTTGGCAGTAAAAGTAGCTCCTACACTAAATTATGACTATAAAAACATTATGTTTCTTTTTTCTACCAACAGAAGTCTGGAAAGTGATGTAAAACTTGAAGATTTGTTAATGGATGAAATAATAAAATTACCTTTTTTAACTGATATCCCTTTTTATTTTTATAATTTAGCTAAGCAAGCTTTTACAACATTCACTTGGACCAAGGGTAAATTAAGCCAATAGTTCAAATTTTGTGGAATACAAAAAATCACGAGTAAAAATGAAAAGTGAGCATTTGCTTTGGCGCAGTTGATCTAGTGGATGATGATGAATTCTGCTTTGTCATTTGTAATAATTTACAATATGATAATTTATTTATATAGAAAGTTAAATCTTTTAATGAAATTTGTCTAAAGACTTCATATGATCTAGATGACTCTCAGTTTAGGGAACCACCCAAAATTGAAGAGAAAATTGAATTAACAATTGATAAATTAAAAGAAATAAATATGGAAAATGAAGGAAATCCACTTCCGACATCATAAGTTCAATATTACATTAGAAATAAGCAAATGTATTGGTCAAGATACTTCAAATTTTAACGATTATTTTGTGTTGAGTTATGTTGAAATGCCTGGATTATCTCTGGATGTGGTAGTCTATAAACTTGAAATTCAACCTGATATAGTTCTTGTGAAACAAGCCCCTCGTCACATGTGCTTAGAAATTGAACAATAAGTCATAGTTAAAAAGTTGATCAATGTGGGCTTTATTTTATAGGAGAAATATCCCTATTGATCAGCCAAAATTGTTCCATTTAAAAAGAAAAATGGTCAAATTTGTATATGCATCGATTATAGATATCTAAACAAGGATTGTCCAGAAGATGAGTTATTGTAACCTATACTAGAGCTTATGGTAGACATTGTCTCTTCATATATGATCTTCTCCTTCATGCATAGTTCTTTTGGTTAAAATGAAATTAAGATGGTTCCTAAATATGAGAAGTTTACTATATTTATAACTATTATAAGGGTCTTCAGTTAGAAGGTCATAACTTTCAAACTCAATAATGCTAGAGCAACACACCAATTGGCTATGACTCTAATCTTTGACGGTCTTATCCACCTACAAGTGAATGTTATATTGATGATCTATTTGTCAAAATTCATGAATAGGAAGACAACCTTCATAACCTGAGAATTATCTTTAAGCGGATATGTCGCTACAATTTAAAGATAGATCCTCTAAAGTTTGTCTTTGGTGTCACCCTTAGGGAAGTTTCTAGGTTTCAAGATAAAACATCATAGAATGAAATTGATCCATTTAAAATAAAATCTATTTTAGATAAGAAACCTCCTAAAAATTGTATTTAGCTAAGGTCTTTCCAATGTAGGTTAATATATCTAAGATGATTCATTTATAACCTCTTTGGTATGTTCTAGCCATTTAAAGCCATGTGTAATAAGGATTCCAATTTTATTGGGATGAAAAATGTTAAAATGCTTTTGATAACATAAAATAATACTTGATGACACCTCTAGTTTTAGTTGCCCTTATCCTGGGAAATCCTTTGATCCTATCTATCGTTGCTTTAGCTGATGAATCTCTCAGGGCCTTGTTAGCTACAATTAATGAGGAAGGAAAAGAGAATGTGTTATATTATACATGCTAGAATTTACTCATTTTTTATCCTATTGAGAATCATTATTTGGCCTTGATTTTTGTCACCCATAAATGAAGGTATTACATGTTGTTTCATTTAAGTAAACTTGACATCCCAAGTAAATCCTTTATAATGTCTTATGACATGTATACTATTTTCTGTATGTTTAACATGATTTTATATATTTTATTTCCAATTTTATATAACATTTATACCAATATGTACTTTAAAAGGTTGAGCCATAGCTAAC